CCCCAAAACCCCAAAACCCCAAAACCCCAAAACCCCATTAAGTAGATGTTAACTTGAATTATTATGAACTTGTCTGAGGTTTAGCACAGCTTTGATTCTTTGATCGATCAGTAATACAGATGCTTATATTCCTTACATCAGGTCAACTAGATCCTTATAGAGTGTGATACACTTCCATCTCGGTGCTGATACCTTCTTTGGGTATGATTAATCCTCTGAGTCTTTAAAAATTGATTGAACATGCTATTCTGGGTCCTCCTGAACTTACTAGAAAGACCTTTAATCTTATTTGATATTCTTCATATTTACAGAATACTTATTCTTCATGCATTTCAAATTTTTCCTCAGATTTGTAGGTGTAGCATCAGACTTCTTCTGGCAGTTAAACTTGAGCTTTATTACAGACGGTTTGTTATTTAGGTTCATTAATGAATTTTTCATCCTGTTGATCTACCCTTCTTCTAAAGGTCCTCAAGTAGTGGCCATCAGGGGAGACTCCACGTATCTTCCTCGAACAGATGGAAGAACTAGTGGCTACTCTCAGCTTGTGGAGGAACTTGAGGCGATCCTTATTTGCTCTGAAATTTTCGTTTGAATTCTTCTAATCTCTGAGTATTTTCGCACATAATTCTGGCAGAGTACTATCCAAGGTGATGTAGAGTAATAAATAGTTTACCTTGAGAGCTTTTGGGCTGAGAGGTTTGGTTTCACTGAAGATTACCTTCCTTTTGGGCTTCTCCTTCTTGTTCCCGAAGGGAAGGACAAAACTGGAGAGCGTAAATGTATGACCTGTGCTTTGGCACCTAAGCATAAATATCTAATAAATTACCCATATGTGAGTTTTATCGAAGGGTTAGTTGAATTAAAATCAAGCTTATTGTTGCTGTGATGGTTCAGTGTCTAGTACAAATATAACGAGGTTTCAACTTAAAGAAGCTTACATTTGAAACACTTGCTTTTGAGATTCTTTCCTTCTGCTTATTGATGATATACTTTTCTATTTCATTCGCATCCTATTGCTAGGTCAGACAAGAAATGTGTACTCTGGAATTATTGAGCAGAGGCTTCACCAGAGGAGCCCTCTCCCTCTTTCTAAATGTGCTAAGGTCTACATTATGAATCCAGTGCCGTTGGCTGGTATAAGCTCATTTCATATTAACTTTCTCTGGAGGTGAATCAGAAAGTTCTATGTAGGAGATTTAAGTTGGATGAATACCTATTTTATCCACTGAGTTGAACTTGGATGTCTTCGTAACCACAGCTTTGATGTTAATCACCCTGGAAGGTCTGTACTTCATTGAGCTGCTATTTCTTAGCGTCGATAAAGGACTATTTGAGAAGGTTTCATTCGAGTCTGATACCTTGCTGTTTAGCGAGTTTTGTACACCTCTGGGAGTCTTTGGGCTATTCAGTCATCTCGGTGATGAATCAAGAGAATTGGCCATATCTTGGCCTTCAAAAATGTTATTTTGGTCTACTAAAGCGTCCATTTTTGATATCGAAATGAATAAATTTAGAAAATGGGGTTTTGGGGTTTTGGGGTTTTGGGGTTTTGGGGTTTTGGGGTTTTGGGG